GTACAGCAAAAAAAAAAAAAGTCTGGAGGGCTTAGGAAGCATAATCAAAAATTTGGAGAAGTGAGGCACATTGGAATGGCCAATAAACCTGGAGGGAAGAAATGTACACACAAAGAATTGTTATTCTTAGTTATTAGTGACACCTGAGCAGTGCTATCTTGCTGTAAACACATTAAATTTCACTCATTCCTTGAGTCATCCAGTGAATTCACAGATGGACTGATCCATGAATAATTTGGCAGATCGGGACTTTCAAATGTAGAAAACAAGAATCAGGGCTTACAAACTAAGGATGTTAAAAAGAAAATACTGAATTCAAATCATTGAGGTCAAGTAAAAATTAGTGTTAAAGTGTCTCTTTTATTGACTTAGTAGTAGAGCTTTTTAAAAAAATTCTTTGGAAAAAATAGCTCCATAATTAAACTCACAATTGAATGTATCAAAATTTAAGCCTTGAATTAAACTTTTATTTGTACTTCAGAGATTTATTCTTTTAATCTACTAATCTAAAGACTAGTTTCTTTATGATTTTATTTTATATTTTTAATTGAAGTAGAGTTGATTTACCATGTGGCAATCTCTGCTTACAGCAAAGTGACTCAGTTATACACACAGAGACATTCTTTTTTTTAATATTATTTTCCATTATGGTTTATCCCAGGAGATTAGATATAGTTCCCTGTGCTATACAGTAGGACCTTGTTGTTTATCCATTCTAAATGTAATAGTTTGCATCTACCAACCCCAAACTCCCAGTCAATCCCTCTCCCTCCCCCCCTCCCCCTTGGCAACCACAAGTAAAGAGTAGTTTCTTAATAAATGGAGGGTTGAGAAATTAATCATAGAGATAATATGGGAACAGGATGCCCACATTCTACTATGAACACTGAAGAAAATTAGAAAAAGAAGAATGCCTACTCTCTCTGATATAATAACAAGTTCTTCTTTTAAAAGTACTTGTAGTTTTTTAGCAAGGAGCTCAATGGTGGAAATAAATTTTTTAAAGCATCCATTCTGCCTAGGCCCTTCATCAAAACTTCCTCACCCCAGGAAGTCATGATGGTTGTACTTCTTTCTTACACCAACAATAATTTGTCATAGAGTCTTTCCTAGAAAAACAAAGGTTTGATGGGATATTAGAAAGAGAAGTTGTTGAAACCCACAAAGAAACCAGCAAGACTTAAAAAGAACAAGAAAAACTACCAGGTACAGACATGCCTAGCAGATGCTGGCTCACCCTCCTCCCAGCCACCGTCATTACCGCCACTTCACAGAGAGCTTGAGACTTGAAGAACTGAGAACCTCCAAGTACATATACATTAGCAGCACACAAATGCTGACCTTCAAGACCCCCATGATGCCTTCCTTTCTCTACTCTCCAAGCCTCCATCTCATTCGCTTGCCTCTCTAGGTCTCTAATATCTTCCAACCATAATTCATTGAACCAAGACTTTTGGTCTTTAACTTCTCTTGGTTCACCCTATATCTTTGACATCACACGCATCTTGGTGTCATATATTTACATACATGTTCTCATTAGGAAAGCCACATAGTGGAAAATGGAGTGGGAAAAATACCCATAATCCCACAACTAATTTAATTGCTGTTATCATATTACTGTTGTCTTTAATTTGTTCTAATTGTATTACAAACATGTAATTCTACATTCTATTTTTCTCTCAGTATTATAAGTATATGGTTGAATGATATTTCATTGCATACGTTCCACCTCTGTGGCCATTCAAGATGTTTCTAGTTTCTCACTGTTAAAAATAATAGTACAATTTATTCTCAACGTAACCGTGAGAAATCCTATTAAAATCTAGGTCAGGTCATGTCATTCCACCAAAGATTTCCAATGGCTCCCCATCTCACATCTTGTAAAAGTGAAGTCTTTACAGTATCCTACAAGGCCCTAAATGATACAGCTCTCCATTACAGCTCTAACCTTATCTCCTACCACCCTCCCCTTCATTCACTCAGCTCCAATCATATTGACCTCCTTCCTATTCCTCAGATACTCTAAACACGTTCCCACCTGAAGGCCTTTGCACTGGTTACTTCCTCTGCTTGGAACCTCTTCCCCCAGATCCCATAGTCAATCCGTCACCCCCTTAATGTATTTGCTCAAATATTACCTTCTCAATGAGGCTTATACTGATGATCTTATAGAAAACTGAAACTCACCCAGAATCCCCAGCACTCCTGATCCCCTTTACCCTGATCTACTTTTTTACTTTTTGAAAGCACTCATCACCTTCTAACATACTATGTATTTTACTTATTTAATTAGTCTATTGTTTATTATTGTCTGTCACCTGCTTCTAGAATATAAACTCCATAAGGGCAAGAACCTTTGTATGTTTTGTTCAATGAAGTATCTAAAATATCTTAAAAAGTACATAGAACAACAGTATTAGCTCAACAATTCTTTTGCATGATTATAACTGCTCCAATATTTAAAAATTGTTTTTTAGAAATTGATTATTAGAAATTAATTTACTAACTCAAAGGTTATGACTCAAAATACAGTGCTGTCAAACGGCTTTCCAAAATGTTGGCAGGGTTGAGTTAATTTACTCATGGTTACTCAGTTAACTATTGGTTGAAATAGGATTTGAATTTTCCAAAGCCTACACTCTCTGTTAAGCCTACACTCTCTGCTTAACAGAGATTGAACCAAAAAACATAAAGTGGCCTTTAAGGAGCAAGAAAGTGCAACTATGCACATCTTGAAGGAAAGGAAATATCTCATTCATTTTTCTACCCACATAGTAAAGTGTGTGGCACAAAGGAGAAACTCGCCAAATACTCCATGAATTAATTGAAAAAATATCTGTAAAGTAACGCTGCAAGTAAGGAACATGAAAAGTCTCAAAATCTGGGGGGAAGTTGATCTGTGCATTAAAATAATTGCTCAGGGACTTCCCTGGCGGTCCAGTGGTTAAGACTTTGGCTTCCAATACAGGGTGTGCAGGTTTGATCCCTGGTCAGGGATCTAAGATTCCACATGCCTTGCGGCCAAAAAACCAAAACATAAAACAGCAGTAATATTGTAACAAATTCAATAAAGACTTTAAAAATGATCTGCATCCAAAAAAGTCTTAGAAAAATAAATTAAATAATTGCTCAGATTTTTAAGGAAAACAGTAAAAATCTTATCTACAAAGGGGCAATTGAACTAAAAGGACCAGAATCCTCACTGGACATCAGTATTGTTATATTGGTGTGTATTGTGTATATTGATATTCTTCATAAAAGGCTAAAAGAAAATGAAAATCTGTCCCTTCCTACCCTTTGCCTGTCCTTCTACCTTTCTCCAAGAGCTCTGCAATTCCCACACTAGCTCTGCAACATAGACAGTAAGAACTTTCCAGTTTTTCAAATCACTCCTCTCAGGTGTATAGTAAATTGTCGGGGATCAGACATCGTAAGCAGCAAGAGTCTCCTTTACCTCCTGAGTCCCCAGTTTCAGCCCAGTTATTTTGCTGTTTGCTCAGAGATACTCCAAACCCTATCTTCCTCTGCCTCTTCTCTGTTTCCTCCTGATCTCTAGTTCAGCACTATAGGCTCGAGTCTTTGCAAAGACACACTTAGAGAAGGCTCTTTTTGCCAAGAGGAACCTAAGTTCCATCCTAGTAGACTATCATCCTTTTAGCTTCAAATGAATTTGTAAAATTCTGAGTTGCCACGATCTTGCTTGGAGAGATCTTGTATGAGAGAACTGCCTGTGTCAGTTGAATGCCAGGGGCTTAAACCCTAAAGAAGAGACAGGTAGAAGCTCACAGGGACACAATAAACTTTGACAGCTTTACTTCTGTAATAAAATGCAATGCAGCTAAAGTTCAGAGATGTTTTGAGGCTTGCCCTGCTTTTGCATGGCAGATTGGAGCTCTGTCCCAGTTCCCCTGCCCTTAGATTTTTCCACTACTCAGCAGTTGCCTCCAGAGAGCTGAGCTAGATTAACTCCTAAATCTTTTAGTATATTGTACTTAGTTTCTTTTTTAAAGATTTTATTCTTCACAGCATATTGCATTGTTTTTTTTAAAGATTTGATTCTTCATAGTATATCCTGATATGATTTATCTGGTTCTCAATCAAAACAGGAAAAGAAACCTCTGAGACAGAAGCTGCTCAGAGGTTTTAGAGGTGAGGATTGTTTAAGGGAAGAACCAATGGTGTCCTCCTCTGCATACCAAGGAAGCACTCAACAACACTCCCTCACACATTACAGGGATATAGTCATGGTGAGTTCTGTTCCAGAGAGTGAAACTGGGTAGGGAAGCCCAGGAGAGCAGAACTATCATTCCTCAGCTGTAGTCTTCCTTATCTTCTCCAGAACAGCCCACTTCTAACTTGTATTCAGACTTCTGTGCGCTAACTTGTAAGCGCACAGAAAGGACAAGCTTTCTCTGGTGGTAATAAGGACTCCCTTGCTTAGGCAAACAAGCAAAGACTGAATGACCATCTGCCACTAGAAGAGACTCTTTCTTTCTTTGGAAGGTTGTATCATATCCAACTTTCATTCTATAAACTTGTAGTGCCTAGGCAGGCACTGTGCTAGGCATTCAAATACAAAAAGGCAGAGAGAAATGATTGTCTTGATCCCTCCCCCATCCCCAAATCCATAATCATATGACTTTTTTTGATAACTAGAAAAAAGAAACAGGTACTGTGGCAAACTCTAAAATGTGACAAGTCATAATCCGAGGCATTTTGAAGAATCTTGGAGGGTGTGTGTATTAGGGGGCAGCGGGGTGGAGGGGAGTGTAGGTGCCTTAGTAGGAAGCAAGAAACGCATTGAAAAAGTATACTGAGTTCTGAGACAGAAGGGAGGTTAAATAATTCTTATAATTTAAAAGGCCTTCTATTAACCTTCTAAACACCACACACTTATGCACCATATCAAACAAGTGATTGAGTCTTGCTCAGTACCATTTTATATGTGCGTACCCAAAAAACATGGCAAGCAATGAAAATAAAGAGGTGGTGAAACTTACCAGTTTTCTCCAACTATGCAAGGGGAGCTTAGCTAATTGTTATAATGTTCTTTCCTTTACTTCTTTCATAGTTTCTTCTGAAATGAAACAGACAGAAAGCAAAATATTAAAAAACACAAAATAAAAAACATTCTGATTTGGACATTAGTAACTGGTTTTCTATTTAAATCATTTCACCCATTTAATATTGGTCTCTGAATTTGTTAATCTCTTTCCTTCTCTGTAAATTTTGCATTTGTCCTTTTCAATACTTTTGCCTTCTTCTGCCAAGGTAGAACTAAGCCTACTTGCCATTCCATTTTAATCATTAACTACCATGGGCACCATTAGAACTATATTTGAACACATTCCAAAATCTGTTACTCAAAGGCCATTCATTAATTCAACAAACATTTATTATAGAAAGAAAGTATTTATCTTTAGCTAATATAAATTAATTGAATACTTTATGAGATATGACCTGATACTAACTTTAAGCTTAAAATTTTGTGTCAAGAAAATACAAAAGTGTTTTGATTTTGGTAATCATGTCACAATGTATATATGTAGCAAATCATCACATTGTCACCTTAAATATATATAATTTTTGTCTGTCAATTATACTTCAATAAAGCTGGAGAAAAAATATAAAAGTTTTTAAGGAGTTGTGTCAAATCAAATCCAGTTAGTCTTAGATTCTGTTATTGTCCTGCTGAATCAAAAACATTATTAAGTGAAGACTTCTTTTGTGAGTTAATATATCCAAAAATTTGGTTTCTGCTTCTTTTTACTCCTTTAACCAACTCATCTATCATATCTCTGGTACACTTGGGCAAGTCACTTAACTTTAATATTCGTTATCTGTAAAGTAGGTAATAATTTTACCCCTTTGATCATTTTTTTATTATTATTTATTTATTTGTTTATTTTTGGCTGAGTTGGGTCTTCATTGCTGTGCGCGGGCTTTCTCTCGTTGCAGAGAGCAGGGGCTACTCTTCGTTGCAGTGGGCGGGCCTCTCATTGCAGTGTCTTCTCCTGTTGCGGAGCACGGGCTCTAGGCACACGGGCTCTAGGCACACGGGCTCTAAGCACACGGGCTCTAAGCACACGGGCTCAGTAGTTGTGGCACACAGTCTTAGTTGCTCCATGGCATGTGGGATCTTCCTGGACCAGGGCTCGAACCCGTGTCCCCTGCATTGGCAGGCGGATTCTTAACCACTGCGCCACCAGGGAAGTCCCTTCCCCTTTAATTATTGTGATGGTTAATTTTTTGTGTCAACTTGGCTAGGACATAATACCCAGTTGTGTGTTCAAATACAATCTAGCAGTTGCTGTGATGGTGTTTCTAGATGTGATTAACATTTAAATCAGTGGTCTTTGAGTAAAGCAGTTTACCCTTTATAATGTGAGTAGGCCTAATACAATCAGTCAAAGTCTTAAAAGAAAAGATTAAGATCCCCAGAAGAAGGAATTTGGCCTCCAGACTTTCTTTAGACTCAAGACTGAAAGACATAGTCCTGCCAGAATTTCCAGCCTGCCGGACCTGTCCTGCAGACTTCAGATTTGTCAGGCCCCGCAATCTCCTGAGCCAATTCCTTAAAATAAATCACTCTCCCTCTTTCTCTCTCTCTCACACACACACACACTCTCTCTCTCTCCATATATAGAGATAGAGATAGATATATAAAATTTATTTCAATCGAAAGATAGATAAATGATAAATAGATATATATAGAGAGAGATCCTATTGGTTATGTTTCTTTGGAGAATCCTAGCTAATACAATTACCTTCTTTGCAATGGTTTTAGAGGTGAAAATGTGGTTTAGGTTTAGGAAAGTTTAGCTACACAGGAAGACCACTGTTCATTCTTACGAGATAAACTTCTCTTGAAGATCTTATTATCTTCTCTCTCCTTCCCTCAGTATCCACCTTAAATAAGTAACAATAACCATTATCACCTTATAGAGATGAGGCAGAAAGAGGATAGGAAAACTCTGTGTCATTAAATCAAATCAATCAACCCAGGAGCACTATTAAACTCTGACTGTCTTATAAAGGCCAAAGCAATATTCTTCAATGTATAATCAGTAACATTTGTTTATAGACCTATCTTGCTTGTTTAATATAGATTTTCCACTGACGTCAAACACTTACATCTATTCCTGTACCTCCTCTAATGATTCATTTCTCCTCTTATACCCTGTTACAGAAGCCTAGGATGTAAAATCACAGAGTACAAAATTCTGCACTGTGGATTTCAGTCTTGAAAGCTTTGTGATTTTTATCTATCTGACATAGGATTTTGAAGTGATCATTGCATGACTATAACTGAACTTGCCATCAATGAATACTCAGGGGTATTATTAAAAGTCTTCCATTCCAATGAATTTCCTGTTATTAGTCCCATTCACTTAGCAATTTAATAAGTGGACAATAAAGCCAGGAGACTCCAGATATGGAAGAGCTCCAAACCTTTGGTAATTTGCAATACACACCAGGGATTCAAAAAGTTCACTGACAGGTGAAAGCTCATCCATGAATACTAAGTAAGTGGTATCAATCCATGGGCTCCCAAAAGACCAACAAGCAGCCTGGAACTTAGTTTCCAGAAATATCTGACTCAACACCTCTTTGTTTTTTCTACTGCTTGAGTAAAAGTTCAGAGCCCAAACAATGTCCAGAGCATTTCACAGATTGCCTACCTCAAGGCAAAGAGTATCAAGATGTTTTGTAACCAGCTAGCTTTTAAATCTCCTTAAAAGAATTTTGACTACTCAGAGCAAAAACAATAATGATGCATTGTGGAATTTGTAACATGCAGGAGTAAAATATATGAAAATAATAACAAAAAGGCTGGGAGGAGGAAAAAGTAAGTTTGAAAGATTCTTATTATGTAGTCAGTGGTATTTTATTTGATGGTATGCTACATTAAAGATGTATACTATAAATGCTAGAGAAACAGCTACAAATAAAGAGGTATAGCTAATTAGATAATAGTGGAGATGGAATAAAATATTTTTTAAAAACTCAATCCACACGAAAAAAGAAAATAGGAAATAAATAGCAAAATGGTAGATTTCAACCAAACCCCATCAATAATCATATTAAATATAAATAGTATAACTTGTATCCAGAATATATAAAGAACTCTTACAATTCAACAATAAAAAGACAACCCAGCTTAAAAATGGACAAAGGATTTGACTAGACATTTCTCCAGAGAAGATTTACATATGTCCAATAAGCACATGAAAAAAAATTTCAACATAATTAACCTTTCAAGGAAATGAAAATCACAATGAGATACCACTTCACATCCACTAGGATGACTAAAATCAAAAAGACAGACAGTGACAAGTGTCAGAAAGGGTGTGGAGAAACTGGAATTAGAGAAACTTACTTGCAGGAATGTAAAATGGTAAGGTACTTTGCAAAACAATTTAGCAGTTTCTCAAAATGCTGAGCACAGAGCTATCATAACCCAGCAAATCTACTCCTATACCCAAGAAAATTGAAAATGTATATTCACACAAAAAGTTGTATATGAATATTAATTGCAGTGTTATTCATAAAAGCCCCAAAGTGGAAACAACCAAAATGTCTACCAACTGACAAATAGATAAACAAAGTGTAGAATAGCTGTAAAGCTGAATATTATTCAGTAATAAAAAAGAATGAGGTACTAATACATGATACAATATGTATCCAACTTTGCAATGTAGGAGATGGAGACACTGTGGAGTTTGATGTTTTGAGGAGAAAAGGGTATGGAGGTAGCAAATGTTACAGGCCCTACTGGAGTTCCAGTGCAAGCAGTAAATATGCAGCAGACTGTAACCATTATAGATGCTACCCACATGGTAGGGGTTTTCTACCAATTACCAGAATTACCAAAACAGTAAGAATAAGGAAAAGAACGAGGGATGGGAGAGTGGTCCAGAAGGCCAGGTCCAATAGGGCCAGCTCAACCTCAGGCCACAGTTCTCATCCTACTACACACGGAGACCTATGAGCATTGACCACAGTATTCCTCTGGTGCAGGAAAAAGTAGTGGAATGTGCTGATAACCAGGGGATAGGAGATCAAGGTAGACTAGTGTTAAAAAAGAGACATTGGGGCTTCCCTGATGGCGCAGTGGTTGAGAGTCCGCCTGCCGATGCAGGGGACACAGGTTCGTGCCCCGGTCCGGGAAGATCCCACATGCTGCGGAGCGGCTGGGCCCGTGAGCCATGGCCGCTGAGCCTGCGCGTCCGGAGCCTGTGCTCCACAACGGGAGAGGCCACAACAGTGAGAGGCCCGCGTACCGCAAAAAAAAAAAGACAGTGTAAGGGACTGGTTAAGAGCAAATTCTGAGGCCTGACTTCTAGGATTCAAATCCCATTTCTGCCACTACCTGTGTGACCTTAGTCAAGTTACTTAATCACTCAGTGCCTCAGTTTACTCATCTGAAAAAGGGGTATATACTAGTACCTTCTTGATAAGCATGGCCAGGACCAGGGTGAAGCAAGAGAAGCACTTGGGTGCAGAAGTGTACTTGTGTGTCTCTGAGTCAGTGTCTCTTAAATTTTGTTTCCCCAGATGCCTCTCTTGCCCCACACCTAGTCCCAGTCCTGCTCATAAGGTTGTTGTAAACATTAAATGAGCAAAAACACTTAGAACAGTGTATGGCATAGAGTAAGGGATATATAAATGTTAGGTAGGCATTAGCTGCTATTATTATTATTGTTGTTGTTGTTGTTGTTGTTATATCCTGGAGAAAGATCCAGAGCGGGATCTTAAAGAATTTGATTAAATTAGACAGACAAACCAAAAACAAACCAATTGTTTTTGACTCACTTCTCCCCTGGATCACCAGCAGCTCTATTGGAACCACCTTCAAAAATTCAGCTGTGTTTCCCACTTATTCCAAATTGCTCAAACCAGAATGGTCTGATCTGTAAATATGGCCTCAATACATGCAGCCAGTGTTTACAACACTAAAAGAAGGATACAGGACTCATCAAGTTGGACTAAATGATTTTCCTTGAATGGATTATCCAAAACATCTATCTGCTGAGAGAAAGACTAGTTCTTTGTACCTAAAATTTTAAAATAAAT